TCCTGCTGCGTTTTGAGAGGACTGGGGACACCTGTTCCTGTGTTTTATTTTGTAAATCCCGCTTTTTACTCTCCCAAGAAAGGTTTAAATCCTAGGGAACAAAATACACAACAATTCTACTGCAAGTTGGAACGCTCTCATTTGTATTTATTTAACTCATTCATGGTTTTGTCACTTACGAGACATGTCTTTCAAAATACATGTGTAAGTCCCAATTTCATCTTCAAAGATGACAGCTTTCTTATAAATAAAACTTAGAGCTAACACGTGAGTTTCCTCAGTATCAATACATTACCATGCAGCCCACATGCTTCGCAGGTGTCACTGGCAAATTTCTGAGAGCAGAGAAGACTGAAACCTTATAAATCTTTCCATCTGAAGGTACATTTGTTTGTCAAAGCCAGTATTTCATTAGAATACGTTTGATGAAAAAATAATTGCAAATGAAATTCCTGTGTCTTATTTTCCTCTCACTAGTGGATACTGTGGCCTTTTGAGCACATCCACGCACCTGGATATCTCCATCTTCCAACAGAACACAGGGATCGTGTGCTCCTTTTGCCATACCCCTTATTTAGGTGGCATCAAAGGGACTTCTGTGCTATTTAAATTTCTTCTAATTCACACAGTTTGCAGGAATTGTGTCGTCATGCGCTGTTTTTTGGCGTCGTGGAAAGATGGGTGAGAGGGGGAAGAAGAGCTGTAGAGAAGACAGCTTATGTTTAGACAAAAATATCATGCTAATCAGCACAGATGGGATGAGAAATACAGAAAAAGTACACGATAGTTTAATAGGTTTTTGGCAAAATGTGTTGGCTTTTTTTTTTTTTTCTTCTTTGAATATACCTGTCTGTGGCTGTAGCTTTTCTCTGACAAAGACCTGACTGATTGTTTTATATTAACATGTTTGAAGCTAACCATAATGAGCTCAGTTTTTTCTATCTAGAGACTGGTACAAGTCTTTCAAATACAATGCTTAATTTTTCTTTCGTTCTTTGTGTTTGGATGGCAAGCTGTGGAACATATTTTTGCACAGTATGAAGCATCTTGGCAGACTTCTCAGGCCAAGTATTGGTGGTTTTAGAGTTATCTTTGGATCTGTCAAAAGTGCTAATAGGCTTTGTTGAGCTTCTTTAAGTTTCTTAATCATATTTGCTTTTTGCTTTTCTGCACTTTTGTATTTAACGATGATTAAGATTGCACTTGAATTCATGACTAATCTAATTTTTCTCTCACATGTGCTTTTTGTATAAGACTTGTTTTTATCCTATAGCAACCCTCTTGTATCGGTAAAAAGCTATTTGGAAACAAATTCCCTAATTCAGCATTTTCGGATGTATTACCTTGTCCTCCATCACCTCATCACCTCCCTTTTTTAATTTCAGTGTTTTAAGAAGTGAAAATATAATCTACAGACAATTTTTTTTTTTTTTTTTCCCCCTTGCACTGTAAAAGCCTCTCATAATACATTCTGTTCAAGTTGTTTGCATGGTGGCTTTCTAGTTTTGATAGTAAAAATCTTATGCTCACATTCTGCTGTTTATTAGAAGACAATTATTTAGTAAAGATGCATGATTCATGCCACGACAGCATGTGCACAGGACACTTACAGGGGTAATGGTGGATGGATAATGGTGCTGGCTGATGTGGGGGATGAAGTGCCCGTAGCCTCTTGTGTAGCTTGCTCTGTTTTCTGTTTTAAATTTCAGTTATTTACAATAATTTTTTACATAGGTACGTTTAATATTCTGAGCAGCAAATGCCAGCAAGAAACCTGTGCTGTCTAGGAAGTGTTTATGTACAGTTTCTGCAGGGTTACTGGCTTGTGTCATGGCCTCTCTTTCTTTAAATTCAGATTGTAAATGTTTTGCTTACAATATTGTACTACAGTTAATTGTCTTCATACTATATAAGCATACTGATCATTCAAGTAAAGCTGGATGTTTGAATCATGCCTCTGGCTGGGCATCCACTGAAATTTTCAGAGAGATTTCTCTGTGTCCTTCCTCGGTTTCCCAGCCCCCATGGGGCTGCTCTCTGGGTTCCACCAGGGGCAAACGTTTACCTGAGTGCATGAAGCGAGGAGTTCAGACAACCTGGACAACGGTTCTCAGCTTGTGTGGTAAATGCCCATGTGTGTTTCTACTTATCAGAATTGTTCTAGCACACACTGAGCTTACGCTTGAATTTGTTATATTCAAATTGTCCACTAAAAAACCTGCTTTTACTCTGAGCTTGTAGGATAGTTTTTGGTCCTTTCTCAGGCAACTTTGAAGTTTCCATAGAAGTGACAGAATTTATTTTTTTTTCTTAGAGAAGTATCTTGTATTTAAGAAGCTGTATATGAAACATCATCAATTTTGTTATTCCAAGACCTGGCTCCCAAGAAGTTAAGTGAAAGATACTGCAATTAAAAAGTCCCCTGACATAAGATGACATCCTGCTTCCTTTTGTTAAGCCACATGCTGGTTGTAGCATAATAAGAAGATACAATATGGTTATTTTTTTTGTTAAGGATGCTTGTTTTTGTAATGCCATGAATCACCAATTATTTTCTCTCTTCCCAGAGAAATCTGACAGAGTATTTTGTGGCAGTTGATGTCAACAACATGCTGCACCTCTATGCCAGTATGTTGTACGAGCGCCGCATCCTCATCTGCTGCAGTAAGCTGAGCACTGTAAGTACAATGCAGGAGTTCTGCTATTCACAGGACTTAGAAAATGGCAGTCACATATAGGGAATGATCTAATGGTCTCTAGGCCCCCCTTCCAACCTTCAGCTGTACAACCTCAACTCAGTTCTGTGGTTCAATGTGATGATTTTACTGAGCTTATGTTGGCCTCTAATGTTTAAGTGAAAAAGGGTTTTTTTGGATCCAGGAATTCTTGGTGTGGTTTGCTACATAAATGTACCATAAATGTCTGCTGTAGTGAAGTCCCTTTTTCATAATTTACTTGATAGGGAAAAAGTAGATAAATGCTACTGTCAAATGGATGTTCCAGTGACCTTCTCTGAATGAACTAAAGGAGTGGGCTAAAATGCAGTGACACTCCACATTTTTGCAGTTTTGTTTGATAAGGTGTAGCCTTGATGCTACTTAGGGTCCATCAAGGGTTTGTGAGATGAAAGCTATGGAATACTCTAGATTACTCTCTTCTAAAAATGGCTGGACATCAAAACAAACACACAGCTTGATTTATTTCAGAGTTTTGTGTTGTGCACTTCAAGGTTTATCAGTCAATAAGACGATGATTTTCTTTACAAAAGTTTTCATTCTGTTTGCTCTGTAAAAGGGTATTGATTTGCTTTCCTTTATGAATGGCAAGCATGTGATGATTTAACTAATCTTGCCTTCTAGTGCTATAGACTAAGTACTTGAGTGTTCTTTCTAGAATACAAGCTTCCATTTCCATTTTTTATAGTATTAACTAGTCTCTTACTGTGTGATCATGACCTACTTTGTATTTTATATTAAAACTGCTTCATGGAATTGTAAATAGTATGGAAGGCTGAAATTCTGTACATAAACATGTAAGAATGGTCTGTTGATACAGGGCAGAAAAATGAAAATAGGATTTCGTACTTAATCTCAGAATAACTATTAAAATATCATTTTGAAAGGTAAGTGAAACTAGGAGAGTTAGAATAATCTCTGGCATATATTAAAAGTTATTCAATGTTTACAATTCATCCCACATTTGACCAAAAGAATACAAGTATTTTAAAGTTTAATACCATAGAAAACTTGTAAATTCTTTTTTATATGCCAAGTATTTTATATCCTCCTTACTAAAATAAGCAAAAATACATGCAGGCCTGGTAATTGACTAAAATGAAAAGGAGGTGTTTGTTTCAGGGACCTAAAGAATGAAAAGAATGGTAAATTATCAGAGAGGAGGAAAGACCAGAATGGCTACCCAAAGCATTTCAAAGTTTGTGTGGTTGGTTGGTCTAATTTCTCCCTTTGTGACAGAGCCTGGGAAGAAGAATTACTTACCTGTCACTTTGCCTTCCTTAATGAGCCATTTCACAAGTAGGGTTTTGTTTTCTTTCCTCTCTATCTGCTATTTCCCTTCCTTTTGCCTCTGTCCAAGATAAAAGCATGTCTGGTTCTTCAGTAGGGAGGGGTATTCATACTGTGTGTTCTTATCTTACAACTTTATATATAAACTGCTCCAAGATTGGAGTGACAGTGTAAGACAGGTTTGAAGAGCTGGGCTAGAGCCAGTTATTCCTTGCCTGCACGCTCTGCTCTGCATGTTCCAGCAGTAGGAACAAGCTGCATTATTTTATTTCAAACTGTGCTCAGCGGAAGCCAAGACCTTGTAACTGGAAACGAACCAAACTGAGAATTCTCAGAGTAGTGTGAGGGTGGTGAGGGGGATTCATTTCTTTGCTTTTACTTTTTAGGTTTTTAACAAAAAAAAAAAAGGGAAAGGGACTTATTTGCAGTTAGTTTCTTTTAACTTTGAGAGACATAGCACACTTAATACTCAAGGTTTGGATTTAGTATCAGGTAAGTAAGAGAAAATTAACCAGTCCTGGATAGAAAGTCTTCTTCTGGTGGAATGAATTCTGTGGTATAATACAGCATAGCAAATTTTGATTTGGCATATTCCTAAAATAATTGAATAAGATTTAGAGGTAACTGAATGAGGCTGTATTTATTAGCTGTAAATCATGTGTACTATCAAAGAATTATTGTTTTTTTTCTTGGACTTTTTTTTTCCTACAAAAGGAAACTCAGTTTCTAAAAATGTTGAGGCAATTATTCATGTGAAATTTATTTATGTATTCTGTGGTCTAATTGCTCATGAAAAGCTAGAGATAAACTAAAAGACATAAAAAACTGTGCTTGGCAAAAGACCACCTGCTGGTGGGAGCATGCTGTTGCAAAACTGAAGCAGAAGAGCTTTCCTTCCACTCTGTTTTCTCTTCCATCATGACCTGCTCGTGCAGCCCTGCACCCACAATGTGTGTTAACTGTTTGTGATAAGGGCATCAGCAGGTTGTCTCTCATGATAAAAAGGTGGTTTTTATGAAGTTGATGACTCTTAAAAGACTTAAACTTGTGAATTCCTGAGATGTTTCTGTTTGGTTCCATCATGCTGAGATAAGTTTCTTTACATAATTTTTCTGTTATTTTTTGAGTGTTAGCACAAAGCAAAATCCAGAATTTTGACATGGTTACTTTTGTTCCTGGGAGCTGAGAGCTTGCTGTGTCACTTCTTCCATGTCACTGACAGCTCTGACACACAGAGCTGCTTCTCTGCTTGGTTTCTGACAGGCCTTAGGGCTCTGAGGATGAGGAAATGGTGTCCTCAGGAAAACAGAACATATGATTGGTACCATTCACCAAATGTCCTTCTGATGCAACATACCTAGTTCTTGTTCCACAGCAGCCTTACAACCACTGTTTTAGATATACAAGCTGTTCCTTCCCAAGAGCTCTGCTGCTGTCCTCAGAACCTGCTGGGATAGGTCTTGGCCTTCAGACATAGCCTCTGCAACAGCCCTGCTTCCACTGCTTAATTCTTATGTAGCTCAGTCGTATGCTTTCTACTTTGTTTTTAGCCCTGAGTAATGCAGAAGAATAATCATACAAACACACAAAAGGTGCTCATTTTTTCCAGTATATATTGCACATTTGTAGCCATGTACTGCAAAAGTGTGCAGGGTGGGTGGATGGAGAGAGAGAGTAAAATGCACTGGATGTGGCCTGTTGTAATTCAACATCAGTTTATGACTTTTATGTGTGTGACAAAAGCCTATCAATTTAATTTGTTCAAATAAGGCTTTTAGAGTACTAAGTATAAAACTACGCAAACTGAATTAGCGAATCAGTGTCTTTCTTCCATAGCTATCTTGTTACGTTCTCTAGCAACAGCTGCAGGAAGCTGAGGTGGTGGAACTAATCTTATTTCAAAATGCTGGATTCCTATAGTTTTGACAGTTGGGCATTTCTCAGGCTGCCTTATTATTAAGAGCTTGTTTTTGGTGTGGCAATCACTAATCAGGTGAGGTTTCCAGCAAATATGCTGTTTCTTTTTTACGAGCCCTTATCTTGGCAGAGTTGAAGGACAGTACTGGTGCTCACCCATGGTAGTACATTGTTTGAATTCAGGCCAGATAGCAAGGTGGGAGTACATCTCAAAAATAAGTGACAGGTTCTGCTCAGATGTCTGCAGTGTTGAGCATTATGTCTGTTTAATCTTTTCTTGCCGAGTTTTAAAACCAACGGGAAGAGGGCTTGAAAGGGGCCTCCTTGGATTACTAAGTTCACTCCTCTACAGTGGCAACTATGTTATCTAATAATGCCAAAAAATAATCTATTTGATCCTCATAGAAGCAATTTTGAAGTAGGAATTACATTTTTAAACCGGCATTTTTTCCAGACTTCTTTTGGACTTGGAAAGTTGGAACAGAAAACATAAAGGGTTTAGGAATACAGAGATAAAACTATAGTGAGAAAGCACATCCTTCTTGCTGCTGTGTGTTTTGGAACCAGGTTATGCCCTTTGTTTAATCTGTGAGAGAGGAACATCTTCTGCAGTAGGAATAATATAATGATAAGTTGAAATATAATGGGACAGGGATGAATCTTAGTGTTTTGTCACTCATAAATATAGAACAAATTCAAGCTTCTAACTTTCACTTTTGTTAGTATGCTACCATACTAGTATTTCCATCCTATATAGATGATAAAATATTGTTCACCTGCTAGTAAAGAACTTTCTTATGGAGAGAGACTGAACAGGTACTTGTTCAGATATTTGCTGTCTGCTTGCAAAGATGCTATTTCCTTAAGACAGTTGTTCAAATCTAGTTTTATTTCTTGCATATTCTCACTTTGGAAACATGTTATCAGCACTGAGATACTTTTGAGCTTTTTGTGGGGTAGAAGAGTTTGATTATCTTGAGGGTAAACAAATGGCTAAAAGGTTGAGAGGAAAAAAGATACAAAAGGTTATTAATTTTCCTGATCTTGGAAGCTGCTAAGCAGTCCAGCAGTGCTCTGTGTTCTGGAACCTGTTCAATGTCCTCATGGAAAACAATTTTTTAAAAGAAGAGAAAATTTTGTGTCAGTCATTTTGTTGCATAGCATGGATAAATTTAACGTAACGCTTGTGTGAGAAAAAACTTCAAACCATGTAAGCAATCATGGTCTGAATAACAAGTAATTATTACCACTCAGAAAGAGATACTGGATTTTTTTTTATTATTAAAAAGAGAAAGAGATTGATCTATGAAAATGCTGGCTTATTACTCAGTTGAAGGAACTTGGAAGCCAGGAAAATGTTATGACCGCAGTAGAGAACAAAAAAGAGGGCATAAAATCACTAGATATGTTCATTACTTGCCCATATTGTGGATATTGCATGAGTTCTTATCTACTCCAAATAAAAAATGATACAGTAGAACAGTAAAAGGTACAGAGAAATGTAACAAGAACAATCAAATACAGAAAATAATATCTCAGTTGGGGAAAGCAGAGTAGATTAGAGCTTTTCACTCAGCCTGGAGATGGGGAACTTGATGGAAATATAGAAAATAATGTGTGGCCCTTACAAGAGAAGTAGGACATTTTATTTATTATCTCAAAATGCTGAATAATAACACATAAAATATGTGCCTATCTTCAGTCTTCTTGCCTACTGGCTGACATTTTAATCAGAAAAAACAGGTTCTGCTACTTAGAGAAACTGCCCTGAAATTACAGAAATGCTTTGTCATTGAACATAAGTTGAACTACATCTGGAGTTGTATCTGATTTTCCCTGTCCTGTAGCCTTTAGAGACTGTGTTAGGTCATCTAGACCATTTTCTTTACCATTTGTGGCCTCCCTATGAAGGTGTATACAATTCAGAAGTCTGTCTTAATGGAAATTAATAAGGTTCATCTACTGTGTTTTTGTTTTGTTTTGTTTTGTTTTGTTGGGGTTTATTTGTTGTTTTTTGGTTGGTTGGTTGTTTTGGTTTTTAAGATTACACCACATCTAACTGAATTAGGATTAATGTAATTATTTGTCTTTGCTGAGTTTAATCTCCCACAACTTCAGGCCACCACAAGGACCTCAGTCTTTTAGAATGAGTCTGTTTGGTGGTGGTAAGCAGTGTTCTCCCCCTTCCTGTTGTTAGATAAGCATTAGATGCTTGAGTTCATGGTACCTTCAAATAACTGGTAGGCTTTTGTGGAGTCTTGTTTTCAAAACATGTTTCATAAGTGACACCCATTGTAGTAATGCTGAGTATCCTTGAGACACTCTGAACTGCAAAACACTGTCAGTGATTGGATGTGATTGACTGTCACCTCTGAGGCTTTTCCTTGTATGTGTTGATTTCTCTGGGTGTTCTGATTAATTTATTTTCCATTTTCCCAAGTGTATGCATGTTCATATCCTCTTCTTGCAGTATTGTCACTGTAGCTTTTGCTGAGATGTCCTTATTGAGGATTGCCACCTTCTCCTTTTTAATATCCTTAGTGAACATGACAAATATCCTGCTTATGTTCTTTCCAAATTACTAATTATCGTTTGAAAGGTGGTTGATAGAAGTAATTTCCTCCAAAGCTCTGGGAGGATTCTCCCCACAGCTTGACTGGCACTTGTATTTCCTATTTGGGATCTTTTTCTGCCAGCAGCAGAACTATTCTGAATGAGCTTTAAAAAAATAACACTTGAGAAATGCAATGGGTCAAGCGATTTAGTGGAGGTCAATTAGATAAAACTTCCTTTTAAATAATAAAAATTTAATTGCTAAGTCTAGTACAATATATTATTGAGAAATAGATGTCACTTACATGTATATTCCTGAGCTCAGGTATTTTTTCAGTTTGTGTTATAATCTCTGCAGTTTTATGGTATTTATTGAATGGTAATTACCAGGACTGGGGGATTTGCCTCTACTATGTTTTAGTTCCCTTTGTGTTTCCATTTTAGCTCTCTTTGTGTTTCCATGTCTATGTTTCTGTTGCTTTATAGATCACTGAGTGTTCTTTTTAGTTTTCACTTGTATGAATCATGTTCTCAGCTGTTTACAATGTCAGTCGAATGACAACCACCATAAACTAGTCATGCTTCACCTACCAATACCCCCCCCCTTTTTTTTTTTAACAAGTACACTGTATATTTTCTAATAAAGCACATTGATATAAAAGCAGAATTGATTCTTCACTTTTTTCTTCTGACCTTGCCTCTTTAAGCTTGCTTTTTGTCTTATTTATGACCCCGTTTTAATATGTGTTTTTCAGTTAACTGCCTGCATTCATGGGTCTGCAGCTATGCTCTACCCGATGTTCTGGCAGCATGTTTACATTCCTGTTCTGCCCCCACATCTATTGGACTACTGCTGGTAAGGCTATATATATGTGTGCATATATTATAGATATGTATTTATATCACTTATATTCACATTTCTGTCTAGTAAGTCTGAAGTCCTCTTACGATGCAACTGTTACTCTAAAAATATATTTAGGCATATTAAGGAAGCAACCAACCTAGTAAGTAAAATATAAAATTTCATGGCAAGATATAATCATCTATCAGTTTGTTGAAATGCTCTGAGTGGTTACCATGGAATGCTGTAAATTTGTGTGTATTTAAAATCTGTTTTCAGCATATCTGTGTTAAATGTTAAAACCTGAATTAAGACTGCAACAGTAGAGGATACTGGGAAGTAGATACTCTGATTTTTCTGCTTTCCTGAACTTCCCCTGGGAGTGGAGGAAAGCTGTTCATTATCCTGCAGCAAACTTGTATTATCAGCATGTGTTTAGAACCTGATACTTACCATATTTAGGGGATTGTATATAAATCTTTTAAAAACTTATTCATTATCATGATGTGACAAGTTTTGGCACAGCCCATGGGCAACCTCATGGTTTGAAATGACTTGAAAACATTCACAAGCCTCCTCTCTGTCCCCTTGCATTTTAAAAAGTCTCTCTCAGGAAAAGACAAACTTAATCTTACTGTGTTGTACAGTCCCATAAGTGAGTGAGGCTTTTGGTGTGGAGGTTGCCTGGGTTCTAATAGTGATAATGTCTGTGTGATTATTTACCTTATTATTTATCCCAGCTGGGATAACTCTCTAGTGCTAGAGGCTGAAACATGTAGATTTAAAGGAAGCTTGTTCTTCTGCCGATGATTTAAATGTTAAGTATGTGCCTCTGTCGAGGATACCCAGAACAGACTCTGAAAACTGTTATCTGCTGTAGAAATGAACCTTCAATTTACTCACTGCACAGGAAGGGCAGATTCTCATCATTTGCACTGCCAGCAGGTGCCCTTTCTCTGAATAATGGGCTTCGGTGTGTAATTAACACATGAAGGCTGCTGCTGCCAGCTTTTTCTTCAGGTACATGCTGCTAGGAGTTTTCAGGACAAGGCTGTGGGCCACAAGAGGCTTTTACACTGGGTTAGAAGATTAGGTATTCATCGACTTTCTGACAAAGACATGTTAAAAGGGGCTAAGTCCAGAGCCCACAGTTGGGAGCAGAAGTGTGCAAAAAGCAAACACTCGGGCAGTGTACCCAAGGAAAGAAAGACACAAGTCATTGAGCTCTACTGAATGAATTCTTTCATGGCATAACACCCTGTCCATAGCGTGAATGAGGCAGCTAGAGCGTGAAAAGTATGATTTTAAATTGTGTAATTATTAGGCAGATTGTAATTGCATGCTTACAAATACAACTGATTACCTTAGCCAGAGAGGAACTTTTATTGGAGAGGTAGCTACACACTGTAGTTGTTTGAATGAATCAATTTAGCAACAATTTATGTGCCATAAATATATTTCTCAAAATAGAGTCCATCTATTTTGTAACCATGTGAACTTAGAGATGTCATTTTTGCCTCAGAGGACTGAGAAATCAGCTCTGTGCTGTCTGCTTTAATGTGACATTATTGCTTTCTGCTGTCTGCCTCTTAAGGGAAATGACCTGAGATTATTTAAAATAAAAAGGTTTAATTTAATATTAATTATTGCCTGGCTGACATAAGGTGACATAAGGCAATAAGGTGACATAAGAATTTTCAAGAGCTGAAATGGAAACCAAATTTAAAGCAATTAGAATTCTGTAGTTCTTATGAATACAAAATATGTTCATTGACTTGACTGTCCATTTACTGACTGTGCTGTATGATGCTTTTGAATCTTCTCCTGCTCTTTTGAAAATCACATAGACTTTTTTCAAAAGGGTATTCCACCTATGATTAGTTGCTTTTAATCATACCATTTACAATGGAAGCTTTTAGGATAGAGGGAACTTGGAAGGTCCCAACTGTCAGACTGACAACTCCATGACTGAAGTTTGAAATTTGTTGTCTCCTGGGAAGGGAAGGGGGACACTATTCGGATCTTTCCAGAGCTACAAAAAGGTAGAATAGCTCTCTTTGCAGTAATCAAACAGGTAGAACACCTGTCTTCTATAGCATTATAGTAATAAATATCTTCTGTAGCATTTTGTCCTTTATTGACATTTTACACCAAAAACGTTCAAAGCTCCATGGTTTCTCATTTTTTCAATTTGTTCTTTGCTAGTTTTTTTAACTTGTAATGTGTAAGGGGGGTAATTTTCTTCCTATTTTCCTCTAGAAAGGATTTTTAAAAACTTTATGTTCACCTGCATCCCTCATTCATATACCCAATCATAGAACTGGAAATGCCAAAACCTGAATCTTCCAAATGTTTGTTCTTGATACACTTTCTCTTTGTACTGGGGGTGATGAGCCAATAGCAGTGGTGAAGCATCATGTACATGGATCTGGAATTACTTCAGTGATTGAGACTGAGTGTGAGGGGGGGAGGTGAAGCTAGGGGAGGAGTGCTATCTTTTATTTTTTCATTAGGTACCATTCTTTGATATATTTTCAGCTCGGGAAGATTTTGGTTGTAGGAGATTAGAAAATAGTGGGAATCCTATTAGATTTCACACCTTAATGCACAATTGCTTGTTTCTTTGAATACAGAACAAGAGAGGAAACCTATGAAGCACTGCTGGTTGGTTTTTTGTTTTGCTTTTAAAAAGTCCATGCCAGCAGGTGCCAAAAGTCCAGGTTAATGAGATACTGCCACCAAGCTTCCGTAGCCAAGCACATACAACTACTTAAATTTGGCCAGATCTTGTCCATCTATTTTGTTGTTGGGAATTTAAACATTTATTGATGTGAAAGTAACAGTGTATTAGTTTTCCTCACTAGTTCCATCCCATTATTTTTTTATTTTTTTTTTATATGACATAAAAACACTCCCACTGTGTCTGTTTTCTCCCATTTTGCTCAGTGTCTGTGTTTAAAATGAGCCTGTAAGAAAAGCCTGTCTTTGCTGACCTGGTAACACAGCTGAGTATGATGTCTGAGTCCTGGAGCATTGTCACTCAGGTTATTCTGTGGAATTTTACCAGAAGCAACAGTATATTTTCTAGGGTGATTAAAACAGTCTTTTCTATTAGATGGAACGCTTAGCAGCCAGTGTTAATACATTCTGAGAGCCACCTTCTTAGAGCCCCCGGCACAGCTGCTGAACAAATGTTTCTATTGGTGCAGTTTTCTCTTTCTCTGGGAGTTTTTTTAACTCCCTTTCTCCTGTTTTATAATCTGCATATAGTTCAATATGCTCCTTTAAGTAGGTGGAGGGGGTAACTGGAGGGCGAGTTCTCCTGCTGTTCGGGAAACAATGATTCCTTCCTCAGGAGCCTCTTGGTAGGCATTTTGATTTAGCCCAGTACATCTGTGTACTCACTAAAAGCTCTTATAGTTGCTCTTCTGGTTTCTTAGCTGTATGTTTTCTACATCATTCCAATTTATGCAGTCAAGTTTCTAATTTGCATCAATTACTGAAATAAATTTTGGATTTAATTATGTTACATTTCAGTGAGTAATCTGAAGAGAAATTAGGAGACTACCTTAGAGAGTGGAGTACAACTGATGTGAAAGAGTGACACGTTAAGTCAGTATTTTAGCAAGACACGAAATTAGTAAATGTGATTAATCAATTTTCCTGGAACAATGAAGCAAAATGGTTCAAATCCCCATGTAGCTGTAAACTATGAACCTTTTTGAGATCCCTGGGTTTTGCATTTCTTTTTCTGGTGAATTGCAGTATTTTTTAAGAGTGGATTTTTTTCACTTAAGAGGAAATGTCCCTCTATTTCACCTGCTTCTCTTCCAATTAGTAGTTGCCCACCTCTTGGGAGCATAATTAAGAGGTCTCTAGTTAGCCTAAGGAAACGAATTAAAGAAATTGTAAAAATGCAACTGTAATTAATGGGCAATATGTAGCCATTAAGTCCACAATATCCATATTCATGCTTATTCATAGCTACTTTAATGATTTGATATTTACCTATATAACTCATTTGATTATAAATAATGCTGATTGCATTGGGAACCAGTGTAGCACAAGAGTAATAACCTTTCTCTTTGTTCCAAAAGACTTAGGCAGGCATTCTGTTTAAGCAGTAAATATGCATGGTAGAAACTGATACTTCTTGATTTTGCACTTAATGGCTATTAGCTGCCATCAAACAACTCTGAGTAATTAAGGGTTGTGGTCGTGAGAAGCCCCAGGATAAGTGTCAAGCAGTAGGTAAAGACTGGTCTGAAGGGCATTCTTTAATATGAACTGGGTCCCAGAAGGATTGAAGGGTGTGTGGAGTGTTCCTCCTGTTTATACAAGCAATGTGTCTTACTGAAGTTCACTTGAAATTCTGGAAATACACATCTAGCCTGATAAAATATTAAAAACTGCTTGAGCATTTCATGTGTCAGGGCCTGAATAGCACTTAGGAAGAACTAGGATGGTGTGCTTGGAATGTGGGGAAGAAGAGGCACACCATGTTCCCTTCTACAGGATGGGGGGTGGGAATTTAAGTAATGACACACGACTAACACGTGATAAAGAAAAACAGTGATAAAAACAATTTATGAATCTGACATGAGCCTTCATCATTGGCTTTGGGTGTGTTTCCTTTTCAGTCAGATTGATGAATGGTGATAGAAGAATATAAACTCTCTGGTAGATTTTATTGGAAAATTTTATGCTTTTTACCAGAAATTTATTTTATTCAGTTTGTTTATAATGTTTGTGTAGTTAAACTTTTTGTGAATCATGGTGAATTATCCTTAAAATATTTTTGCTCTGCTGTTCATGTGTCATTGAACAATAATGTCAGTTCTGACAAAGAAAATGCATGTTTATAAAATACTCAGATCATTTAATTTATGTTATCCATGGAGAAAACACTTCAAGGTTGGCATTTGGTGATGAATGGTAATCATTATTTAAAAGCAATTTTGAATAAACAAATTTTACACAAATGCACCTTCAAAAACAAGTGTTTCATGAATACACCCAGATGTGCTTTTGTCCAGGTCTGTCACTTTCCACACAAAACTTGCATTTGTTTCCCTTGCTTCTCTGCTGGAGTGTATATAGATGCTCCCGTTAGTCACTCATCCTTGCTTTCAGTAGTTACAAGCAATGGTTTTGTGGATAATACTGAGTTAATTTCTTTTCATATATTTCCATAATTTGGGGAATTCTTTATCAGTCTTCAGATCTAATCCATTTCTAGTTGGTATTGTGTCTGCTAACACAAATACTTGCAAAACTAGCACATTGTAGTTGAACAAATTACTGCTTCAGAGTTTCTTTTTTCATATTGATCAGCAAAACCTGACCTTTCTGTCAGGGGATATGCTAAACCCTCTCTTTGCAGTTCTGTAGTATCAAATTGTTCCTCTGCTTTCTCCTGTCCAGCTGTGTGCCCGACACAGCCCTTTCTGCACCAACCTGAGTCCTTGCATGTTTAGTAATACAAGTTTAAAGAAGTAACAGCTTTCAAAACACTGCTAAAACCCAGGTTCCTGTAGCCTTTATGCAATCCCTCTACTAGTTTTACATTCTGTCTTGCCTTTACAAGTAATGTCTTTCACTAGAAAATGAAAAGATAATTAATTTCATCCTGAGCTTATCCATATCTCTTAGGCCACATCTTTGCTGTAATTCCTTACAGTTTTGCTGGGGGTGCTGGGATTTAAGGGTTTAGGCATTTGTATTATTCACTTGTTGATAAACTGGAGGATTAAAAGATGGACATGATACAGTTAATTAACTTTTACAGGTTCAGATTTTCCTGTGTTTGGTGACAGGCTCCACTTTTGGACACGTTAATAAATGGCTGGTTTTCTGGAATACTGCACTCTTTCTGCTTCCTTTCATTACGTTAGCCAAGGTTCCACTAGATGAGACATTTGCAGTCTTAAGACTTCCTGCCGAGGTTCAGACTTTGTATTTTGGAGATTGAAGCTGTCGTGTTCCTGAAACTACTTAATTAGAAACACATTCATCTCAGTGCATACTGGAGGAGCCTGGAGCAGCATAGCCAGGCACACAGGGAAGTTGAGCATTTGTGCAGCTGGCAGCTAAACCAATGGTTTATACTTCAAATATAAAATTACTGGGTATTTTCTTGCTCCTGGAATGTGGCCATTGGAAAGGAAGAGATGTGGGTGAAAGAGATAGCATTTGTTGCAAATAAAACATGCAAAATGACAAACAAAAATACTCCTCAGTTGAGCAGCAATCCATATGCAATAAGTGTGTAGGTAAAAATGTCTATCCACGAACCTGGATATATGTTCCAGTTTCATCTGTGGAATTCCCAAGGAAGAAGATCCTTCAGGGTTTGTACCAAGTTTCCAATTTACCGTTCCCTCTGGGCTACCTGTGATCAGGTGCAGTGTTGAGTGTAGCTTGGGCAGGACCATTCCTGCCATCCTGGGCAGTTCTGTCTGGTGCAGTGCAGTGTGATACACAGCACTTGACTATTCTGCCAATGAACTCATAAGGTTTTTCTAAGGTCTGTATATTTAATTTCTTAAAAATTTTTAATTTTCTTCAAAAAGAAAAAAACCCCACAATGTTTTCATGCAGAATGTCTAACACAGAGGATATTTCCATCTCTTAATACAGCATCCAACACAGTAGCAGTTTTAGTTGGTATATTAATAAACATGATAAGTATTAACCAGTAATTTATTTATTTTTTTTAAGGTATTTCTCATGGAAATGAAAAGCAGAGTGATTTTTGCTGGTCTGGTGTCTTGCAGCATTTTTTCAGCACAGCACTTCTCTTACTGAGCAGTAGGCACCAGTTTATCAAAGCAATATGGGAGATATTTTAATCCAAGGCAGTACAGTGACATCATTCCTGCCATCCTGGGCAGTTCTGTCTGGTGCAGTGCAGTGTGATACACAGCACTTGACTATTCTGCCAATGAACTCATAAGGTTTTTCTAAGGTCTGTATATTTAATTTCTTAAAAATTTTTAATTTTCTTCAAAAAGAAAAAAACCCCACAATGTTTTCATGCAGAATGTCTAACACAGAGGATATTTCCATCTCTTAATACAGCATCCAACACAGTAGCAGTTTTAGTTGGTATATTAATAAACATGATAAGTATTAACCAGTAATTTATTTATTTTTTTTAAGGTATTTCTCATGGAAATGAAAAGCAGAGTGATTTTTGCTGGTCTGGTGTCTTGCAGCATTTTTTCAGCACAGCACTTCTCTTACTGAGCAGTAGGCACCAGTTTATCAAAGCAATATGGGAGATATTTTAATCCAAGGCAGTACAGTGACATTTCTCTGATTTTTTTCATCTGAAATTGAAAATGAGTTCTTTGAGCTTCTGTATCCAAAATGAAATGAGGCTCTATTTTAAAAGTTGTGTCTGTCTGTGTGCTTTCCATTTAACAGGCACTATCTGCCATATTTGCAATTAGCAGCTTTGGCATCCTCTTTGATGTGCTCTAATAAGCAATGCAAATAGAAGCTTTCCCTGATTAGTTGAGTGGGAGTCCTGTAATAAGCTTAATATTAGAAATACTATATACACAAAATATGACTTCCATTCAGTAGTATTCTTGTGTCATGTAGTCCATGTTGGTGTTTGCTAACATCATGGTGGAGCAGACAGAAAAGATCAGTCTTCCTCTTCCATATCCATGCTCTGCGTGGGGACAGAACGTGGCACCTGCTGGAGGCTGCAGGCACAGCCCAGGGCTTGTGACCAGGGCTTGAGCTGAAGCACTAATGGTATCAGCAGGTACCACTGCCTGGACTTAATCAGAATCTTCAAAAGTAATTTTTCTGTTTTTCTTTTACACATGTAAACATTTCAAGACTTAAGAATAAATTATTTTACATGTGTCTGAACTCATATTCAAAGAATTTAAAACTTGTACCACAGAGTGGTACAGATACATTAAATTAGCCACTTAGCACTATAACAGGATCACCTTTTCTAAAGAATTATCTTAGAAAAAGTCTGGATATTTTTTGAAAAATGTAATAATACATCTTGTTTGTTTTGTGGTTTTGTCTTGGTATTGTTTATTTTTTTTTAAGACCTCAGTATTTCAGATATATTTAATGGCTGTCCTTATGTACCTGTCTTAAGTCACTTAAAAATTTTGATGTCAAGACAAATGAAAGTCTTACAGTAGAAAAGGAAAGGATATTGCATAGTGAAGAAAGTCTTTCAAAAACGGAATAAAATTTTGTTCCCATGTGGTTTGTTTATATAAGGTTTAGGGTTTTTTTAAGCAAAATCTAATCCAGTATCCTGGTATTTTCTGTAGCTAATTTTATAAGTTATATATGTGTTAATCTAGAGGTATGAAAATGTAAAGCTAGTTTTTTTTTTCCCCTTTACAGTGCCCCAATGCCCTACCTCATTGGAATACATTTAAGTTTGATGGAGGTAAGTCTCTCACCATTTCTGAAACTATATATAGTTTTATGATTTAGAGCCAAATTCTGTGAGCGATTATATATGAATTCATATGCTTAAAACTGTAATAATTCTGTTAATTTGTGAGTGCTGAGAGAACTGAAGTTAAGGATAGATGATAATGTTGAATCTTGAGGGAGCATTATTTGGTACCTTGTGCTCTTTGTGCAGCTCAGGGGTGAGCTCATGTGTTCTCCTCTCCATCCTGGTGCTTGATTTAATCGGTTTATTGACTAAGTATTCACAAAGACAGTAGATATTAAACCAAAATGTTGATAGTTACAATTCTCTTTTAGGCTTTTGCAGACAGATTGTCATTTTTTTAATGTTCAAAAGATCTGAAAAGGAGCTTGCTGTTCATGCTAACACAAAGCTGGCAGCAAACCAGCCCTCACAGAAAGCTTCACATATAAACAATTCAGAGTAATTCATGTGACTTTTTAAAGGCTCTAAAAGTGGAAATAGCACATTTGCTTCTGCTTCCAGTACTGGTGAAACAGTTGATGACTTTCCTCAAAAGTGTCTGCAGGACAACATAAGCTGCTAATTTAGATCCCTATGAAAAATCTAGTTATTAATTGTGGTGCTTTACACAGTGTGTCTGCTCCACGTGGGAAGAGGTGTTCTTGCCCAGGGAGCATCTCCTCTCTCTGGGGTTTCCCCTGAGCAGCCAGTGTTGAACTGGTGGCAGCTGCAAAAGCCCTTGAAAGATGTTTGACTTGTGTCCCTGTTTTGGATATCAGTGTTTGGAAATTTAGGCATGGTGGTTAGGACACATAACAATTTACAAACCAGAGTTTTACATCACATAAAGTAATGGATATTATTTGTTCTTTTATTGTCATAAAAATATGTCATTTCTCTGGGTAAATATTAATAAAACATATTCTTTCACTAGGACATATGTATGTAATAATGATCCTCTGTGTTAAAACTTAAACTGGTATGCTGTGTAACTCCCCCCTTTTTCTAGTGTTAATGTGAATTAATTTTAGAAGTCACTTTTTTTCATGAGAAGCTAGATGGAATGTGTAGAACCTTTTTTTTCCCCCTTTTTTTCTCTGTACCATCCTGGCTACAGATGACTTTTTATGCCCGTTATATTGATAAATAAACTACAGAATTGCAATACAATGTGCTAGTGAATAAGCAAATATTTTAAAAGTCGACATGTGCATTTGTTTGCACATCATATGTTTATGTTAGAGGGATTTCTGATCATTACACTTGAATATTACACTTGAATACTGCATAGACAGGACTGAAGTGACATCTAGGAAGGAACAGTCTAGCATAAATTGTTCATACTGATCAAGACCTTTCCTGGCCCATACCTGTACCAGGTAATCATTGGCATGCTTGTTATGGTATCTATCTGTTTGAAAAAGAAGGAAGAGACCTGGTAGACGATTGGATAATATCTTCACACAGATACTTGTCAGCTTTCACAAATATTTTTTCTCACAAAGAGCTACGTGGTTAGCCTGGCAATGGGACAGAAAAAAAATGAATAATTCCACCTTGGAGTTGCTTTGCATGGTGCCTCAGTGCTGCCCTGCTTCATAAACCCACTGCCTCCTCCTTTGTCTCGGTTTTCAGCTTGCAGGGCTCTGCAGGCCTTCCAAACTCCATCTGTAAGAACTCAAAAAAAGGAGTTGTTCTTGGAGAAGCCAATTTTCATCCATTTTAGTAACTTGTGAAAAAATCTGTTTAGTACTATATCCAGTATGGCTTTTGACTAGCCCGAGATTCTGGAACACAGACACACTTTGGCAAAGTACAGTTATTCCAAGTGCCTTATGAAATAGATGAAATAAATAAAACAAACTGTCTTCTCTCCTCCCTCTGCTCTCAAGGATAAATTGATGCTTCCAGTTAAGAGTGATTTTTCCACTGAAAGATAAAGTCAGGGCTATTGTCTCTGCTTGTTGCAAGCACTGCCTGATTTGCCTTGGGCAAAGGAAAGGTGAGGTTTGTCAAATGAGCTAGATGATTACTAGTTTACCTCTGCCTGGTTTTGAGGCTGAAATCTTAGTCTCTTTGTCCTTTTCTTCATATGTAGGTATAAAATTCTATGTTTTATTTGCTAAAATAACAATTCAGTACCAACAGCAATTTTTTCTCATTACTTAGCAGTTTTATATTTTAAAACATATAATACATTCATTTTTCCATCATAAAATAATTTTAGGAACTACAAGTAAAAATTACTGTCATCACCCAGTATTGATTTTTCATTAAATGCTGAAAATTCAGCAGAGAGATCTTTGAGAGTGTTTTGTTAATCCATGTGTTCTAGTTTTAGGATGAGGGATTAATTCCCCAGTCTTCTAGTCAAGCTAAGACAGGTGGACTCTCTATCCAGTGCAGAGCCCTGTGGGAGCCATTGCAGCTACAGATTGGCTCAGTTCTGCTCCAGCAGCTCCAACTCCAGAATTTGTCATCGTTGAGTAAATGTTGGTGGAAGCCCAAGCGTGCAGGGAAAGCTGTGCTCCAAAGGGGAGGGTGAATTTGGAATGTAGGAAAAAAGTTAATTTTCTGGCTTTAGCTTTGTTTCTGTGAGGTTTTGCTGTCCCTATGTTGGAATGGGACCTTTGGAAAAGTACATCAGAAATGTTAATGACTTTAAACAAGATACAACCCCTCAACTCTAAGATTTTTTTTTCAAACAATTTTGTATCTTAAAGTTAGTTTGCAGTTCCCTGTGTTACACAGGGTCTCTGTAGAAGGAGCAGTTATTTTAATGAAAAATGACACATTTTTCTTCTGATTAAAATATCAAGCATATCCATTGACTGTTAAATCTAATTTGCTGTCACTGAAATGTTCTCCAGTGAGATAAGATAATCTCCTGTTATAGGTCAGAGGGCTCCAACTGATTTACGAGGGAAAATCTTGGTAGAAAACATAGAGCTGTGTTTTGTGCTCTTATTTTTCAGCTTTTCTATCATCACCTAGTTAGTCATTCTTTATAAGATTTCCATTTAGCAATCCATAAAGTGACTTCAAAGAAGGCTAAAAGTTTATAAGCTGTTGGATAAGCAAGACTGGAGCAATCACTTGAATAATGGAACGTGCTTACAAAACTAATTGAATTCATATTAGATGAAGATAAGTACTTAGTACTGATAAATAACAAGATAGGGAAACGAAACTCTATGAAATGAACACATCCCTTTCATAATCTTATTTTATTTTCTGCCTGGTACTGTATGCTTTTTTTAGTGCTCAAATTACATTAAATTGACCTTTGTGTTACAAGTGGTGTTCAAGTGGCTTGCAGCCTCTTGCGTTTTCTCATAGTAAACGATTGTTTCAGCAACTGCTTCTGTAGCAAAGGTTATTAGTGTGATGGTGCTGATGGAAAAGGAATGCCCTTGACCTAGCAGAGTACCTACTGGAATTTGGGCACATGTGGTTGTGTTTAACCAGGGGGGTCAGCTCTGAGGAGCTGTCAGACAGAGCTGCTGCCAGCATAGCTTCCCTGCCAGGCGTCCGGCCATTCAGCTAACGATGGTGCCCACCTTCACACACCGTGCTCAGGGCACGAAACCACCCTTCATAGAGTTAATGTGGAGAACTATTTCTTAAACTCCTTTTTAATATTACAGTCACTCAGGGGCTTTTTCTGGTACTTCAGAATTTTGATTCTTGCAAGATTATCCAAATGATATTGTGTGAAACCACACTGGACTCGTTAGGATTTGCTGACATTTTTCTGAAGCATAAAGGACAGAGATGTGCAAATCAGACAACATCCATGAGCAGACTTCTGGTTTATTTTAACCTGCTATGAGTAACTATGTTGACGTTAGGTGAAGAAGGTTCATTCGATCCCTGCTGTCTGTCATCTGTTGTACACAGCAGGTGATGTCCCCTCGTGTCCAGGTGATGTCCCCTCATGTCCATGGTCTCTGCCTGGCATGAAGGGAGAGCTGCCTGCTCAGGCTGCCGAGCCCCACGCACCTACCTGTGGAGCACTTCTGGGCATTTGTACCTGGTTTTGCTCAGGTGGCCGTTAGGATGCTCTGCTTGTGATCCAGCCTGATGGGATCAGTGTGCACAGAACGAATGTTGGGAAGCAGGTGATACCAGCTTAGGCTTATCCTTGCCGGTGCCATGAGGTTCCCCTGTGTTGCTGAACACACCCTGAGACCTCGATGAGCACTGGCACCTTTCAGCAGTACTGTTAGTAGTTAACTGTCATTTTATTATTGGCATGAGTAGTAGTTTTTAGCTTTTTCCATCCATTTATGCTTAGTAAATCACTACCTTTTCTAGCTATAACTGAAGTGTGTCTTTTTTAGAGGGTTTAAATGTAGGAGTTATGTATAGACTTAAATCCAGGTCTTAAAAACCAAAAGGTAATTTTAGTCACTAATATTAGTATTATGGCTGTGTGTGCTTTCAGGAGTACTGATAAAAATGCATTTAAAACTATGACAAATTACTATGGAATTGTCTTCCACCCAATTATTGGAAAAATGAAAATAACTGTGTTTTAATAAGAGACTGTGTGGGAGGATGTTTGAGGGGGAAGTTTAAGACAGGCAAATATCGCAGGGCCAAGTAGACTTGCCAAGTAGTAAGTGTAGAAGGTTTTTCCTCTGTTGAACCATAGTGTTAGACCAGGGGTAGTGAATTTGTCACTCAGTTGGCAACAGCTGCTTGTGATAAGGATCTGGACTCACCTGTCCAGTATCAGGGTGCTGCACATCAGGGCTGGGAGATGGGCGGAAGAGTGGGAGATGCACAGGAGGGGGCTCAGCCCACCTGCTGTGCCCAGATCAAAGGCCTGGGAGGTCAGGGGGCACATCCAGCTTAACCAGATTTGTCTGTTGAATAGCTATTTCAGGTTGTAAATCTAAGGGTGATTTCATTAAGTCCTTCTGGCTGCTGTTGGGGCATGAAATAATAAAATTTTATATCCGTTGCCTTTCCTGCTTCTGGCAGCCAGATTGACACATTGTTGTCTGCAGTGTTGTGGTGTTTTTCTTAAGAAAATAAATGGAAACTATTAACTAGAGACAAGTCATTAAGCAAATTATTTTAGACTTATTTGGAATCATACTTTCATTGTCATTTCCAAGATAACATACAAGGTAGCTACTGAAAATGTTAGCTTTTGTTAAGAGTTTTACCTTTCCAAAAGAATTAGTGGAAGGTACATTTTATTTTATTTTTTATATCACAACAATTTTTAGTATGTTGATCACATTTGTATCTGGTTATGAAACCTCATGATCAACTTGGTTTATGTTTTGGCACCAATTTAGCCATAAAGTTAAGCAATCCTGTGGTTTTTTAGAGGGGGGAGGCAGGTGGTAGCTTTGGGGTTTTTTTGTTTTTTACATGAACTATGCAATAAAATTGTTCATCTGAAAGAAGTTTAACTTAGCATTTTTATGGTAGGAAATGCAAAAACTGCTAACTGTAGAGAAGGATAATAAAATAACATTTAGCATAAACTCATGTTAGTATTATTGATGAATATTACTGTTGCCCTGTGATCTGAGTGACACAGAGCCACATCCCTTCATACTTGCATTAGAATATAGTTTCTTAGTGTTTTTGCAAACTTTGGTGTAAAACATTTCAATTACTTCTAGTGTTTGGCTGCTTGTGAGCAGGATGGACACACTAACTGCTGCTTATTTACTGACCTGGTGTTTAAGGCCCCCTGGAGTTTGTTTGAAAAGTTAAGAGATTTTCACAGTAAAGGTGCCATTTCTGAAATTTAAAGTGCTCTTTTCACCAGGAGATAAGTTCTCTCTGATTAAGTCAGTAATTCTTACTAAGCCATGTTTATAGAGGCCATAAACAATGGGTTCAGTGTGCTTGTTAAACCAGCTCTCCATACCTCTCCACTCTTTTAAAAAGAGACATTTAAAATAAAAGGCAGGTGTAGATGTTAGTTCAAGTTGGTGGTTTTTAGATGATTAATTATGGCTACAAGTAATTCAGTAAGGATGGTTATGAAAGGTTTGCAGTAGTGAGATGTGATGCACATTTTCACTAAATCACTTATCAAATTATTTTGACTTATCAAATCCCTAGTCTGTAGTAAAATTAGATAAGGAAATAGTAATGTTCATATTTCCTCTTGTTCTTTGTTTCTCCACATCTTTTCAGCAAAATCTGAACCTTCTGGATATTGCCCATTGTATTTAACAGGTAGCACTCTATATGTAGAATTTTGTCTAGATATTCAGGAAGCTGTGAAGCATGGCATGTGGCTAGATGTGGCTCAGGTGCTGTCCTTTCATGTCTTGAGAAATTCATAACAACACACAAACTCTACCTGTGGAAATGATATATGTGTAGCTGTGACTCAGTGTCCAGTGGGATTTAATGTGAGAAAGGCAGTAGGATAACAGATATTATTACTAAAATTCCTACAAAACAGTAACTACTTTTATTTCTAGGTTAGTTGGGCTGATAGGTGCTACGTTTAGCAAAAGAACAATTTGAGTATTTGACAGAAGCCCTTAGAATTATGTGATAATTCTTTTATCAAAGATTATCTGTTTTTATCAGCTATACTTTTACTATAAAGATTAACTGTTCGGCCTGAATTTCTCTAGGATGAGCCACAATTGGACCATTGAAAAACTGTATTTTCTCAAATGCATTGCAAGACAGATGCTATAGATCAAGTCTTCATGCAAATATTGAGAAGTTTTAACGTGAGATTGTGCTCCTCTTAGTGTAAAGGGATGGCACAGCAGAATTCACTGTTAGCCTTCCCTTTGGGTACAATTATTCCTGGGCCATGTGTGGAGATGATTACTTAGATCAGTTTTTATAGTCCTTGCACCATGAGCAACATCCTTTTGTACTGTGCTCTCTGGCTGATGCAGCTTATCTCACAAGCCTATAATTTGCTATAGAAAACCCCAACATTTTGTGGAAGGGAAGGTGCAGATTCATCACCAACGTTACAAAAACACCCATTGACAAGTTCAAGCACATGCTTGTTGCTTCTTCGGCAGGAATTAAGAGAAGGTTTTAATTCCTTCTGTCTTGTCCTACTAGCACTCGCTTTTGACAGGCTTCTGGCTTTGGTTAAGTACATTGCAAGGCCTTTTTGTTGGAGCTTTTTAGACTCCTCTGAGTATAAGTGAGATTTTTAATTTTCTGAAACAGGAAGGAGCAAATCAGTTTGTCTGGTGCTTCCGGACTCCTAGAAGGAGCAAGACTCCTGGATTGCTTTAGAGTTTATCAGATGCAGCCAACAGGGTGACCTTTGGTTCCTGAAATGTAGAGGAAAGTACCTGGTTTGTCATGCAGTACTTGTACTTTTTATATGGAAAGCATTAAATGTAATGTTCTTCCATTTAACTTAAAAAAATTTCTCCTGGAAGACCTAAACTTAAATGTCTACAAAGTGTTTTTTATAGTTGTTGGCTTTTTTTTTTTTCCCATAAGTACACAGCAGTTTTCTTTATAGACAGAGGACTGAGCCTTGAAAACTGAAGGTAATTATTTAGATGCCTAAGGCTCAACTTTGCCATTGTTTTAGAGCTTTAGTTCCTTTCTTTTAAAGGAAACAATTCCCCCCACCCTGCAAAACCTTAATTAAAAATTGAGTATGTTTTTGTTCATTATCCTCTTCCATAGAGGTATGTAGGTACTAAAATGTTTGTTTACAGTGTCACTGGGAAATTTCCTTAATTACTATATTCTATAGTTCCACTTTTTTGGATTTTGAATTTTCAAAGCTTTATTTGAAGAGGGCTTAAATATGTATGATTAGTCAGCCAAAAAAAGAAAAAGGATTCAATTCTCCCGTTAGTGGGAAAAGTGTTAAAATAAATACTTAAATGCTGCTGTTTCATATCAGAGTTTCATTTACTGTTGTTTAAGAGAAATAGTCTGTTTAAATTTGCTTAGATTACCAATACCTTTAGACACTTAAAATCAAAGGTACTAATGATCCTTCTGTTGTGGCATAGGTTGTTTTCCTTTTGTGTGTCCATGTGCTGTTACAGATGGTGTAAACAATCTAACTAGATTATAGATATTTCTTTCAGTTGATGGGAACAGGATAAAAAGTTTAGACTCACTGAACGTTAAGAGACCAGGATGTGGTGGAGGTATTTTTCTCTTAGCTATTTTTTTTTTTTTAAATTCTTTATTTGTTAACCTTTGGTAGTGTCCATTTTATGGAAATAGAGTTGTAAATTTGTCTCTGTTGGAATTCCAGAATTTAACCTGGAGTTTGGAAACGTATTCCTGACTTACTGCACCTCTTAACTCTTAGAAAAGCCACTATTTGTTGTTGCTCAAATTATTTTTTAAATATTTTAAAATATAAAAAGATATATCTTGACTCTGCTAGAAACTGATAAATGTGCAAACAGGATCCCAGAATTAAGACAAACATTAATAGAGATGCTTGAAATAAATCTCTGCTTGGATAATAAAAAAAAATTGCTCTCTGTTTTCAAAACTGTCAGTATGCACAATGTTAAGAACTTCCCTCTGCAAATTGCAGGTTAATACTTCAGCATTGTAAAATATGAATAAATAATCAAACAATGACAGAAAGAGATGTTGGTTGTTTTTAAAACACTGCCATTTTTGCAGTGCCATGATGTTATGCTGTTGCTTCCGCCCTTTATGCATAACATTTCATACTTATATTTTCTTTTCCCTTTTCTTGAATTTGCTCATATTTAGAAAGTAAGAAACATGGCCCTGGAAGATGTAGTGATTCTTAATGTAGACACCAACACACTGGAAACCCCTTTTGATGACCTTCAGAGCCTTCCTAATGATGTGGTATGTATGAAATGATTTATTCAACTTACATTCATTTCTTTAAGGTGTAAATCCTTGAGACCCATTTGGTTTGTAACTGAGGTGTCTCATTGCTTCTCTCATTAATAGAAGTAAACTGCTTTACCTCAGCAGTTCTCTCCTGTTTTGAAGTGTTAAGCAATGTTTGTGTGAACATTTGCAGACATATGTTTAAGTCTCCTTAGGACAATTAGCTAATGCTCTCCTAAGCTAGAAATGCTGCAGCAACCAGTGTCAGTTTTGGAATGGCATGATCAAGTTTCAGGTCATCTTAAAAGTTAGTCCTCTCTGGGTAAAAAAAGACAAATCATGAATATGGTACATCTGAACAGGAAACAAAACCTCAAAATTCATGGTGTGAAAAAGTACTGCTATTTTAAACTATCTTTATCCATGAAAAAAACAAACAAAACCCCCCTGCATTTTTAGATAACTTTTGTTTCCAAATGGAATTGTGTGTTTGGTTTTTCCTGTGCCTTCATCCAGGTGAGCTTTAATGGACTCTGTGCATTTTATATCTCAAGTTATGATATCCAGTGAACTACTGCATATTCACTTCTAGCACTGCTCAGTGCATAGAATCCAGAGCTTGCTTTCTTTCTCATTCACGCTTCTTATTGCTAATTTACTTATTTATTTAATAACTTGATAGTAATGTTGTATAAATACTTGATGTTTCCCTTTAATGGGACAAAAATACATCCAGTTTGCTACTTGCTGCTGTAATCATCTTCACTAAAGGAGATGAGAGGGATGAGCAGTAAAGTAATAAATAGCTTTTTAGCTATTTTTGAGTTGGAGGGTGACTGTTTAGGTGTAAAAAGCTATTTTTGAGTTGGAGGGTGACTGTTTAGGAGGAAATGACAGGGGAAAATGTGGATTTCTTTTATTAGTTCAAAATATTGTGCTGCCAGTTAGATCTATACCTTTTTATGTGTAGTTGAGAAATAAAATTGATATGCAGGGGGCTCAATATAAGCTGGTCTGTTTGAGGAAAATCTCAAGTAATGGTGAATACCCAGTGCCTCCTACTGTGACATCCCATAATTTCTCTAGGATCTGTGGTGTGATCCATTCTTCGAAAACAGTGAGCTCTGGATGAAAGGTCTGTCTAGATTGTGAACATTTTGGCTTTAGTCGAGCATTTAGTCTATAAAAGTTACTTCCATGAATTTTTCTGGCTTTGTATAGTTTTTCATTTTGATTTCACTCCCAGCACCCAGATCTGCCAGCTGGGCATCACTCCTGCCATTATCCACAACCTGGGGAATGACAGACTTGTAAAGTTCATGGAATTATGTAAGAAATGTCTGGATACAGTGAGTGCAGGGCCTCAAACATGTATATGATTTGTCAACAATCAAGTATTATATTAGATTTTATGAGACTTCATTAAAGGAGCTGTTGTAGGCACACTGTAGGACATCAGAAGAGACTTCACCAATAAACACAGGACTTCAAGCTTTGGAATGTAATAAATTTTAAGAGACTTCCTTCCTTTCATTATTTACTTTTAGTTCACTTTTATAACACTAAAGAGTTGTGTTTTATTAGTTCAAATTTTTCTTGATTCAGTTTTCCACAGGTCTATTTAAAAGCTACATTTTATCTTGGAGGATGTTTGGAGCATAGCAGGGGAAGTGCTGCCAGCAAATTCAATTAACTGGCATGGCTCACAAATAGCGTACGTGGTGTATTTTTTTTTTTTCACAACCACTATATAAATACAGCTGGGATTAATATTTGTCGCAACAAAGCCCTAACTTTGTTGTGTTGCATTGTGCAATTAATGTTTGGGATCAGTGTTTGTGTCTTATTTAGCTTTGTTTCATTATTTTAGTTACCCAGATAATGAAGTATATTCTCTAGGTCTTTTCCTTTCCTTCAGACTGCTTAATATTTGGCTTTGACCACTAGAGAGCAGCTGCTCTTCTTTGCAAGAATTGAATTTCTGTCAGTTCTTTCATGCATCATGTGTTTGGAACTGTAAGTGGATCAAGTTGTTCATCTCAGCAGGGAGACTCTAAAGCCAATCCATTATACTTTTTCTTTTTTTCTTTTGCTTCCCTGGGAGGATGGGGAGAATCAGGGAGTGTCTCCCCACTGGTCTCAGTCTAAATAGATGCATTTATGATCTGAGAAACTAAAAACGTCTTAAGTTTCATGATCATAAATGGCTCTTATGTCAAACTCTTCTGCCATTTTTGCTACTTCATGTGATCAGTGAGCAATTCGTGCAGTGTTGAATAGACACATAATTTACTTTGCTCAATGAAAAAATATCTATATTCAACAGTAAGGCAAAACATCTTCTGCGTGATGCATTCTTCATCAGGTAAGTAATCTGGTGGAAAATTTTTAAAGCTGTTATTCCCCTCTCCATGAACAGCTTTTTTAATCAAGTAAAACAATGCCATGAAGTCCTCTGCTTATTTCAGAGCTTCAGGTAGTGAGTTGTGCTTGAGTTGATAAACTGTTGATTCTCGGGAATCGCGAATGAGCTATTCATTAATCTTTTACTCCTAGGAACATAGGCTAGTTATGATTTGTGTCAAAGGAGCTGGGTAGCATTGAGACAGTTCCAGCAGAATCAGATTAAGTCTTTTCTTTGCCCCAGTTTACCTCAGCAGTACCTGTGAGCAGACTGCCTGAACTGTTCAGCTCAGGTCTCTGAAAATCAAGATGTGTAACACTGTGTTAGTAATTAAAGATTCAACATGTGAAAAAGTATCCCTTCTTCACCTTATGTTTCTGATGTGTTGCTGAAAATCTGGCAGCATGAGAAAGCCCTGGGAAGTAACTTTCCTTTTAAAATAGTCAATATTAAAAAAAGAGATTTATTAAGGACTGTGATTACAATAAGTGCATCTGCTGCTGACAAGTCTCCTACACCACCGTCTGTGTTGCAAGGAATAGCAAAGAGGGGGTAGTAATTTTTTTTTATACAACCCTTATGGATTTTTCATGTATTTCCAAATAAGTGTCATCTTCTAGTCTTAGTTGTAGTCAGAACTTCATATTACAAGGAACAAAGCATAAGCTCACTCTGTCAACTTGTAGTTTTTATTAAATGAAGCCCTGATGCAATGCAGGGGACTGCGCCAAGGAGATCTTGCAGATCTGATGGCTGTGAGAGTATTGGAAATTTGCACTAGCCTATGAATATCTTGAGCTGTCAGTAATTTAGTTGTATATGCTACTATTGTCCATTCATTAACAAGTTACCACAAGTAGGAAGCCTATATCACTGTTTTTCACTTAGGAAATTAACTGCTTTCAGGACAGCAAGAGCTACTAAACTACAACTCTGTAGCAGAACCATTTCCTTAAAGGTGAATCAGTTTTTATTTCTTACATTGTGTTTGTAATAGAATGTTTCTTTATTCATGTTGACAACTGAAAAGCCTTGGACCTAATTAAAAGAATTTCCACTACCACCTTTACTGAACCATTTCATTATGCTGCATTGCACAGATTGCATTTTGAAGCATGGTGATAGTTTAAATCTGACCTTTAAACCTGAACTGCCAGAAGTATAAAAATCTTCTTTAAAAACACTCTCAGGGTAGACTGCATGTATGTGTGTCTGTTTGGCTAGAAATAATATTAAAATTCAATGGTTAATGTATTTATTTTTTTTTTAAAGTATTACTGCCTCTTTAGGCAGGAAACAATCCTAATTCTGCTTGTATAATCTACTTTGTTTTATGTACTAATTAATTCCAGAGTAAAAAAAAAAGGTTTTTTACTTGTTAATCTATTTTAATGTTATTAACATTTTCTTTTTTTAAAAAAGTCTATAGCAATAGTCCTGACTGAAAGAGTGAAAGTGGTTGTATATAAAACAGACTGCCTGCAGTGTTAGGTTTAGTCTTAGAAGGGAGCAAATGATCTGAAAGCTTAAGGAATTAGCAAAATACCTCTCAATATTCTACTTCTATTCCAAACAGGGAAGCTGGAACACAGAAAGGCTGTGACTAAGCTTCTGAACTTTCTGTAAAACAGCAAAGAACATATAGATTACAAATTCTTCATCTTCACGTCAGTGTTTAAAGAAAGTGACATAGAAAAATGTTAGAGATAGATTTGGAAATTACTCTGAGCTATAGACATTTTATTGCATTAAGAACTACCTTTAAATGGTTAATATAGGAAAGAAATGCACACTTTATCCCTGCAACATCAGACCCCTTCAAACATGGAGAAGTATGCTGTTTGGGTTTGAAAATCCAGTGAAGCTTTTACATTATGAGAATAACAGAGCTCCTTGAGAGACATTTTCTCAGTGATTAGGAGTGAGCTTATTTTATGGGTATGATAGACTAAATCTGTTATCATATATTATGTTAATATGTACTTATGAGCTCATTAATGCATGGATCATTGGCACAAGCTACAGCATTCAGATTTATAAACAGTGCTGGACACTCTTGGTTATTTGTTTTACTAAATAACTATAATGAAGTGCCTTCTACAACGGTATCTGCAGAAAGTTTAAAAGGAAATGTCTTGCCAACTGTTTTAGTAAATACAAGTGCAAATATAACATCTAGTTTTAAAAGAAGAAAAAGTAGTGCATGTTGTGGATTATATATTTAACACCTAAATAACAAGATGAGGAGTAACTTTCCTGCCCTTCCCAAATCTACAAATACTGAAGAAGGAGGTGAGAGAGATGCTGACAGAAGGGATAGCACTGGAGTGCAGCAGGTCAGTAAAACCAGCCTGCCCTTTGCCTGCAAAGCAAGTTGGTCGCAAAACCCTGAGGCTGAAATCTGGTAGGATTTTGGACATACAGATAAGGCCAAAATAAGCTACTGTTATGAGCTGGAGGATGAGGGGAAGGTCTTGAAAGTTGATGTGAACCGTCAGATTTTATTTTAGGAGGTATTATTCATACACCAAAAAACATACTTAGGTTCAGTAGAATAGAATCTGCTTACTCTTGTATTTTCCTTTCATATTCCTACAACATTTCTTGTATAATGTTAAGTATGTAGAGCTACCTCAATGGAGTTTTTCAGGCTACCATTTGAAACATTTACTAGTTATTGATCAAATGATTTCTTTTAAATTCATATTATGGATATTTATTGAGTCATTCATGTTCTGCAAATCAAGATGACTGGGGCTTTCCTGGCTTTCTGCTTTCCTTCTGAAATGGTGGCTCCTTCCTCTCTTCAGTGTGAGGTATCTCATCAAACTCAGGTTTTGCACCTGACATGACCGCATCCTCTAAAGCTCTAGTTGCATTTCTGCCAAGAATCAGTGCCCAGATGATTGGTTTTTATTGTGATGTGTTCTATGAAATCTGTCTCAAAACCATACTTGGTCCTGGTTCTCTCCGCAACACCAAAAAATTGCTGCTGACATAATTGTTACTGATTTAACGGAACCTACAACCATTGCAGCACAGACACAGCAATGTTGATCTTTGGAAGTTTTTTTAGTCCCCTTCCCCAGCTTGTGTTTGAGAAAGAAAAACGCTCTCACTGACAATAATACATGGATACACAACCTTACTTCAGTAGTTACTGAGCTCTAAGGACTAGAGAAGAGACCTCAAACCAAGTCACGACCTCCCTGTGTGTTTGAGAAGTTCTGAAGCACAGAGTAATGGATCATCCTCTCAAACTTAAGCCCCTTGTGTACACCAAGAATATGAAAGTAACCCGGACCAGGTAGTTTTATCTCTGCATAGAAATGTGTTTAGTTGAGACTTGTTGTGATCAGTGTCTGTGTAAGCGCTAACGAGGCAGTCAGGAAGATTGTTCGCCGGAGGAGCAGCCGGTGGCTGCGGGGGTGGCTCAGAGGAGCCCACGGGCGGCGGGGACCTCTGATCAGAAACGTGAGTGGATCCTGACCCTTTGGAAGGACAAAATGTCGCTAATCCGAGACTTTCCCAATCCCGCCGTTTGCACGGGGCGCTCGTGCCGCGGGGCGCGGCTGGTTCCAGCTGGTTCCAGCCGGTTCTGGCCGGGCCGGTCCCGGCCCCGCGCGGCCCCAGCGCGGCCGGTGCTGCCGCCGTCCCCGGGACTGGCGAGGAGGGACGGGCCATGGGAGAGCGGGGAGCAGAGAAACCGCCCCGTGCCGAGCAGGGAAAGGCGTGAGGAGGAGGGAGCGGCAGAGGTGAGGGAGTCGGGAATAGTTGGGCGGGAGAAGGTGTTTTAGTGTCTTTGTTTCTCTCCACCCAGCTCTGTTTTAATTGGAAAGAAATTAAATTTATTTACCCAAATTGAGTCTGCTTTGCCTGTGTTGCTAATTGTGAAGTGATACCCGTGTCTTTTGTGTCAGATCGCTGAGGTTTTTCTTGATGTTTCCGGGCCTGTTCCGGAGGAGGGAAACCCGCCGTATGCAGCCACCAAACTCGTGTTCTTTTGGTTCAAGATTCTAAAGTACAGAGGAATATAGCCTTAAAAGAAAAAAAAAGCAAAAAAAAGCTGTATTTGTGACAAATTTCTCAGACTAACAGAATTTGTTCTTAGCCCTGGTAGTGATAGACATGGTCATGGAGGACAGTGTCTCTGTTTGATGTTTAAATGAATTTAGCTGAAATTCCTTCATGGATTCTGATCAAGAATGGTACAGAGCTTCAGGACTGCCTTTGAGAGAGTACCGAACAGCATGTTAACAGTGGATTTTAAATAGAGATGGTTTAAATGAAGCTTTTCCTATTGGTTTCTGAATAAAATCCAATGATATTTTAGAGAAGCAAAACAGCTTGAAAATTAATCTTTTTAGAACTGAAAAATTCAACTCAGAATTCACCATGTCCCTTTTTTGTCCCAACTGCTGCTGTGGTGAGAGCATTTTTAATTTAGCTTTGCCCCAATGCTTTAATCTTTGTTTGTGATACGAGGGTGATCCAAACCTGTTGTGTGATTTCAGGTTTCTACACTGAAGAACAGACTGAAGAAAGTCTCTACAACCACTGGAGATGGTGTTGCAAGAGCATTTCTAAAAGCACAAGCATCTTTCTTTGGGAGCTACAGAAATGCCCTGAAAATTGAACCTGTAAGTATGAAATTAGTAGGCATGAGATGTAAATCTGCAGCTGTGGTGGGGAAGAAAGCTAACAAGAACTGAAAGGGTAGCATAACCTACTTTTACTAAGGTCAGCATCGTGGCTTTTTGCCTGACTCGTACTGAAAACAATGTTCTAGTCTCTAAAAAATGAAAGAGGTGCAACAAGTATGATCAATCACACAAGGAGAAAACTTCTTACGGAAAGGAATGGGTGTTGCTTGCTTTTGGAGACAGTCAAGTTAGAAGACAGGTAGTAAAAAGTATAAATTAATGATTGTATGAGGCTAGAGCAGAGTTGACCATTTTCTCTCATTGCAAAACCGGAGTATTCTTTGCATTGTTCTTAAAGATAGTAAAAGATAAACTTTTTACAGAATATATACTTACTGAGGAAACGTGCACATTTATGGAATGATGGAGTTTAGGAATAAAATTAGTAAAGAAATTGTACTTTTCCAGAAATATGAAGAATGTCTGGAGTTGTAATTACTGACCATAAATGTTCTGTTAGGGAAATTCAGACTCTTACTTCTGGTTCAGAGATAATCTCTATTTAGCAATGATTAAGTGCCATCTGAGCAGGGGAAGGATTTTTCTGTACTTGATCTTGAGTTTTATTGTTTCTGGTGAGGCATCTGTTCTTGGCTTACTGCAAGGAGCTTCATGGTCTTCAGTACAAATCAGTCCAGTCAAATTATTATATTTCCACATGTTTTATGACACTCTGGTTTGCTGCCTTGTACTTAAGAGATTCTTTTCAAGGGATAGACAGAGACAAAGTAAATTGTATGAGGAACATACATGAGCAGGCATAATTCCCAGAATTGCGAGCAATGAAAAGTACTAACTGTGGAGTGATCCACAGAGTATTTCCAAAACATTCCATGCTCCCTGTTTCTAAAGCAGAGGAAACTGACACATGCACATGTCAATTGTAGTGATAAATCTCAGTTTTCATGGGCTCCTTTGAGCTACTGTCATTTAGAACCGTAGGTGCATAAGAACAAGATCTTTGTAGAGGATAAAACATACTTTTGTCTCAACACCTCTCTCCTCTGCAAGCACTTGGACACAGAAAAGAAAGTGGTAGTGATGGAGGGCTTGAATGCTCTTGGGAGGTGGTGAGTCCTGAGTCTAGGTTGGGAGGCTAAATGAGTGGTGTGTGAATAAAGGCTTGTTGGTTGAGAAAAGGTGTTGTATTTTGCATTCTCCTGCTCTGTGAAGATTAATGAAGAGGTTTGGTGTGCAGACAAGTAAGAGGTCTCATTTTAATCATGATATTAAATGAAAAGATCAGAAGTTGGACTACAGGCATAGTATTTCTTAAGGCTGAGGGTGCTTCTGTAACTAAACCCTCTTTAATACTATAGTTTGTCATGTTATTTTAAAGCAAGAAGGAAAAACTGCTCAGCCTGCATTGTAAACAGTCCAGCTATCACCATCAAATAAGCGTCATTCTAGCAACTCATACTCAGGGTTCATAAATCACATTTGAAGTCAGCATGAGCCCTTCCACAGCTTACTGGGGGAGTTGTGTGTGTGGGAGAAAAATTGTATTTGATTTACATTTGTATGTCTGGATATAACTATTGGGATTTTAAAGCATCTAAGGTGAGGGAATGGGAGGTTTTTAAAATGCTGTCCATATAAATAACAAAAAGGAAACCAGCGAGGCACTCTGGCTGTAAGCCTCCTTTATCCATGTCAGGGAGACAATGACTTCCTAGTATCCATGCATGCTCTTGTGTTCCCCAGTGCTCCTCCCAGGAGTTGCCAGGCAACTCTGGGAATATTGGTGTATGCTTTGCCAGGATGGGTGTGTGAGATAACTAGTTGAGGGCTCTATGAAGAAAACTAAAAATTTAAATTGCTTTTCTGGAAATACCATCTGGTATTTTGGAGGCTGAATGTTAAAGATGAACACTCAAAATCAGTTGACAATGGCATGCCCCCAGGAAGGGCAACTTTGAGGGACAGTTGACTTGAGGAAGTAGAATAAATTGTTTGGTTTGCTTATCATTCCATCAAAGAAAACTTGTAGTTGCAAAATTTTAATGTCTGTTCCAAAAAAAATAGATTTTGAAAACAGTTACTGGTGTAACAGTTGAAAATAAAATAATTTTGATGTGTCTGAGATTAATAGAAAAGCAAATGGAAGAAATAGGTCTCCATTATGTTTTTTTAATTTTTCTACCTTCATGTGTCATAAATATGGGGGCATAAGCAGTACCAAACATGATGTGGTTCTTTGCATTTGATGTCCCATAACTCAATACACCTGATCATTCATTTAAAATAATTGATAATTAGGAAATAAATTCCAAGAGGCAGCAGCTTTTTCTCCTTTCATAGGTTTTGTATCGTAAGACAATCTAATAAGACCATCTCATCTGGTATGAGTAGGCTTTTTGGGATGAATGGTGTGAAGCTATTTTCCTTGTTCTGTGTAGGCCCAGAATGTGTCACAGAGCAGACTTTAAATTCACATTATACTTAAGCATAGTAAGAGCTCTTAATTCAGTCAGAAGCTTTTACTCTTAAAATACAGTTACGTATTGTACATACAAACAAGTACACGACAATGAATGAGTTACTGTTGCTCTAAACTTTCTGAGGCCTTCAGTAACCAGAACTTTTGCGTGAAAAAGTATATCTAAATAATATGGTCTGCAAGTCTAATAATAAGATTTATGTAAGAAAATATCTTATTCAGTTGTGTTTCC